CATTTTTCCACCTCTCCCGGGGTGAACTGCCTATTCAGTCCAACTGGATGTGTGGTTTTTTCAGTCTCTTTTCTAATTCCCCTGTCTGGGATGGCAGGCTTTGAACAACATGTGTAGGGATGAGATTCTTTGCCAATTTTCTTCTTGAAGGAAACAATTTGTAATTTTAGCATATTTTACTCACTGTTAGGAAGTCTTTGAAAATTGAAGTTGTTGATAGATATACAGTTCAAAACTCATTGTGCACACAAAAAATTACACATATTTGTTTTGCACAGGAAAACACCTTTTCTGTATAGAAATTGGCTACATATTTTGCATAGAATAGAAGACATGAAGCAATGTTTCTGTTTTCTGAGCAGAGCATATAAATCAAAATTTCACAGAGAATATATTTGGAATTGCAAAGATGTCCCAAACTCCAGAATTCTTCTTAAACGAGTTTCTTGACATTTGAGAAACAACTAAAAACATGTGACTTATTTTAAAATACATATATTTTTAAATATTTTATTTCATTCTCCAATAATGGCAAGTACTTTGGAGCAGTCTCTCTCCCTCAGTTCAGTCACTTCTCAGAATATGAATATGAAAGAAGTTTAAGAGAGATAACCTTTACAAAATGCCAATTTCATAGTCCACACCCTTATCACTAACTAAGAATGTTGTTAAAACTAAGGAGGGTTCTTCCCATTCCTCCACATAAGCTCTAGCACTGTGATGTTGTAATACACTTGGAAAACACTAGACTTAGTTCCTTTAAGCTATTCAAAGAATACATTTATGGTTCTGTTAAGAATGAGCATTTTGGTTCAAGTGTTTTGTTGATTATTACCTATTCATTGCTGGCAATTTTTCTCTCTGTGTTTCTCATGTAGTAGCAGGCTTTAAACTATGTCTTAATTTTGCTTAAATGCACTGTTGTGCATTTTCATTTAAAATAATAATAAAAATAATAAAACTTCTGGTGGAAGTCCTGTGCCCTTTGTGGTTCCCTTCAATCTGCATTATTTATTCATTATTTATTTATTTACAGCTTTTATATTCCGCCTTTCTCACCCCGCAGGGGACTCAGGGCGGATTACAGTGTACACATATATGGCAAACATTCAATGCCAATTTTGACGTACAGACATGTACAGACTTACACAGAGGCTATTTAACTTTTTCTGGCTGCCAGGGGAGCTGTCGCTTTTATCGTCCATCTGCGACGCTGATGAAGTACCTCCGCATTCCTCAGATGTTTCCCTGCTGGAGTGCTTCTTTATGGCCTCATAAATTAGTTAATTTTAGCCTCCCCACACTTTTAAGGTGGTACCTTATTTTCCTACTTGACAGATGCAACTGTCTTTCGGGTTGCAAAGGTCGACAATGGGCTACACCATGGTTGGAAACCCACTCCAACCCGGGCTGGCTTTGAACTCATGACCTTTTGGTCAGAGTGATCTTAATGCAGCTGACACTCAGCCAGCTGTGCCACAATCCTGGTGCTTTCCACAATCCCGGTGCTTTCGGGGCATTAGCCAAACCTTTCTGGATGTCATGAGACCATTTCCTGGAACTAATGTCTCTGTGTGAGGACTGTCCTTAAAGTACCGGAATTTTTAATTCCATTTTCTTATTTCAGATTAAATGGCTGTCTGGAAGGGCCCTCACTATTAGCTGAACTCTTCAAGACTTGAGAGAAAGGAGTGGGAGGGAGGGAGGGAGGGAGGAAGGGAGGGAGGGAAGGAGGGAGAGAGAATCAGTTTTGCCAGAATGATGGAAAGATGGCAGAATTGTCCCTGCACATCATTTCAGGAGCGCCATAACTGTTGAAACACTTGGGATAGTACTATTTGCATGTAGTATCACTGCCACAATTGATTAGTTAAAAGCCCAACATTATTCCAATAGGTTTTCATCTGTAGAGATTTCACCATATTGGTAGAGAGCCAGAATGGTACGGCACTTTGATTGTTGAACTAAGTCTTCAGGAGATCAAAGTTCAATGCATTATTCAGCTATGAAAACTGCTGAGTGACTTTGTAGAAGTCAAACTCTCTTAGACTTAGTAGAAGGCAATGGCAAACTTCCTCTGAATAAATCATGCCAAGAAAAACCTATGACAGTGTCTAGTTGACTTGAAGGCACATAACAACAAACAACTATGGATGAAAAGAGCTCAGACTGAATCTTGGTAATATGGCATGTATTCAGGGCCATAAATTGTTTTTGTTTTCTTAAAAAATGTATATAGATTGCGTGAATGAGAGATTGCACTGCAGACGAAAATTGATTGGGATGGAAACTGCTGGGAACTTTTGCCCAATATAATTTTTTCTTGAAATGTCACAAGTGTCAAAATGTGTTTAAGTGAAGCAGCCAGGCTGAGTTCTTTGTAGAAAAGGAGTGCAAGCCATGAGAAGATTCCTTTCTTATTTCTTCTCTTTCAACCACTGAAGCTTAAAACACCCAAAGCCCCCAGAGCAGAGTCCTAGCTGTCAGAAGCAAAGAGGGAACATTGCAAAATGCCAGGCACAGCAAATCAATCCTGTTAAATCTTCGAACAGCATTAACATTACTTTTAAACCAAAAGCTTCAATTTCAACACTTCACAGTAATATATAGTCTCTAAAAGGGAATGAACTTTCTGGCAAGTAAGGAATGGATTAATCATGGTTTTGAAGTTTACCATTCCAAAATTCAGGACTCTAGTAAATGTGAATATATACAGAATTTAGCATCTGGAAGCTGATTTTTGAATATGCTTGGAGAAACTTTATAAATAGGTTCCCCAAACACAGGTATTTATCACCTATGAGACTGTATACTGCCACATTTTTATATATTGGAAATTCTTCAGACATTCCACTGTTTGGATCACATCCAACTGAGATTTTAAATATCCCCCTCCTACTCCTCTCCCTTCCTTTTTCTTCAGACAACAACAGTATATCCTGAACATATGTCTCTGTGACCAGAAGAAAAATATTTGCAAGCTTCTGTGAGGTCTACTGAAGTCTGCTGGATATCTCTGCAAATCATATAATCATTTTGCATCTGTGAGGACACTTCTCCAATCTTCCTTCATTTAGCAGACAAAGAACTGCAATGGAGATAGGGACTTCCATGACTCTATAAGGAAGTCAGGAGACAGGGACTTAGCCAATGCAAAGGGCATATGATGATGATGATGAGGAGGAGGAGGAGGAAATACCAATCACTACCTTGACCAAAAAAAAAGACACACAAAGGGATTACAGTTCATGTGTGCATCTGTATGCCCGAAAAGGATGGCAATCATAGTCCCATAGGGCCCTTCCACACAGCCATATAACCCAGAATATCAAAGCATGAAACCCACAATATCTGCTTTGAACTGGAATATATGGAAGTGTGGACTCAAATAACCCAGTTCAATGCAGATATTGTGGGATTCCCTGCCTTGATATTTTGGGTTATATGGCTGTGTGGAAGGGCCCTTGGTTATTAGATATTTAGGCTCATCCTGGATTTTCATCTCATATATGTTTCATTAGATGCAGTTCTATGTTGTGGATATATTCCATAAATAAACCCTGTGTATTTAATTGCTCTGCTCTAATGGAGACATTAGGAGTCAATTACTGGAGACCAGCAACATATGAGGGGACACGTTTCATATTTCTTCAAACCCTATAAGGACAATTCTTCTGAAATCTTCAGAGTCAACACTATATTATTCTTGCTGAGGACAGTTTCTGCTTTGATTGCTTACTACTACTAATATTAATAATAGGGTTTTTTTTCTTCTCTTCCTCTCCTCACGGCTTGAGGTGGGCTACAGCATTACTAAAACATAAACAAACACATAATCATTTTAAAACACTTCGTAAAATACACATATTAAAGCATACCTCCATAAAATACTAGAAGCCAAGGAGAGTGATGGGATTGTGACAGATGATTTGTCAAGTGGAAATTTCTCAGCCAGGTTTGTATTATGCATAATGAGATATGAAGCAACAGTGTCGCTACAGTAGAATAGGTTAGTTATATGCATTTTTTTGGCGACATTACCTGCACACTACACCTGCAGTTAGAAGGTTCTGATTCATTGCACTGTATTGATCTCCACTAATTCCCTTCACGGCTAATGTTCCAGCTTCATTAAAAAGCAACAATGTTGTTCTTTTCTCCCCTTCAGAGATTACAGTTTTATGCCGTGTGGATACTGTTGCAATTTGTACATCAGTTATTACTGTCTTCAATCTACATGGTAGTTTTCAAAAACTAATAACTGTTTTTCAAAAATATATATTTTAAAAATATCAAACTTAGAGCAAGTCATAGGCAAACTCTCTCTGAACAAATGTTGCCCCTCCCCGCAAAAAATAACCTGTGTTATGTTTGATTTAAGGTTTCCATAAGTCAGAAATGTCTTGAAGGCACACAACAATGTGTGAACCAGATGTTAATCACATTATGCAGTAAAATTACTGAAAAAGTGATGGACAGAGATGCTAGTATGCAATCATCTCAGTTTAACAGTGTTAATAGCCGGACCACGGTGCTAAATACTGATAGATTTCTAAAAACATGTTAGAAAACAAAACTGCATTTATTCTTTGCATTGTGATAAATGTTTGTGTTTTATAGCTCTAAATTGTTGTGTATATAAAATGTATGGCTAGTAAATTAGTCAATCTAAGTCTTGAAATTGTTAGCTACATTAAAATTAAATCAGTATGGATTTTCTCCCCTCCAGCAAAAGAATATGCCAAATGTGAAAGTATATTTACTAAGCAAGTCATCATTACAGAACATGTTTTTATGAGAGAGTGAGAGAACGATGGGAAAATTTCCTCTCTCTTTCTACACTTGGAATGTAAAATAGATCACTAAAATGAAATCTAATAATCAGCACAAACTTTAAAACAATTTAAGGTCTTTTGAACCTTTCAGCAAAACTGAACAGAGTATTTGAAGAGGAAAAATCAATAAGAGGTCTTAAAGGTTTCTCTATTTCTTCTTCACAGACAGCAAGCTTTCTCTCTGAAGCTCTTCTCCCAGTACATCCAACTGTATACAAGGAACAGGATTTTTCCTTTAGCCTCCATGAATCCATTGCCAAGGTAAAGGAAATTAAGATATATCGGTGAAGGTGTATTCACACTGGACAATTAGAGCATTTTAATACCACTTAATCTTATTGAATCCTAGGATTTATAAGCTTTGTGATGGTACTTTGAATTATCTGCAGGGGAATTTTCATCTAGAAAGGCTAACACTGCAGTTCAAAGGAAAACACTCAAGAATTCTAAGTAATTCATGAAAATATAAATCCTAAAATTTCATAAGATTGCATCATGGCAGCATTATCAAACTATATTTGATACGGGGAGGCAGGGTTGCAGTGGTCTATAGAGATTCCATCCTTCAATATCTTCAATATCCATGCCGAGGCGACCCTCACAGAAGCGGCTCAGGACTTCATGTCTGCCATGGCAACCATGGGGCTGTCCCAACAAATATCTGGCCCCACCCATTGTGCTGGACACACATTGGACTTGGTTTTCTGTCAGGGATGGGAGCAGGGTGGCGGTGTGGAGGAGTTGTCTATCTCTCCGTTGCCATGGACTGACCACTTCCTGATCAGATTTAGGCTCACTGCACCCCCTAACCTCTGCAAGGGTGGAGGACCCATTAAGATGGTCCGCCCCAGGAGGCTTATGGATCCGAACGGATTCCTGACAGCTCTTGGGGATTTTCCCGCCTCCGCGGTAGGTGATCGTGTCGAGGCCTTGGTCGCTCTCTGGAATGGGGAGATGACCAGGGCAATTGACACGATCGCTCCGGAACGTCCCCTCTCAAGTAGCCGAGCTAAACCAGCCCCTTGGTTTACTGAGGAGCTGGCAGTGATGAAGCGAAGGAAGAGGGAACTAGAGAGCGTGTGGCGTTCGGATCCGAGCGAGTCAAACCGAACACGGTTTGTGTCCTTTTAGGGCATATGCCGCGGCAATAAAAGCCGCAAAGAAAACTTTCTTTGCGGCCACTATTGCGTCTGCAAAGAACCGTCCGGCGGAGTTGTTCCGGATTGTCAGAGGTCTTTTAACTCCCGCCACTTCAGGCGGGAGCCCTGACAATTCGGTCACGCGCTGTGAAGCATTTGCTCGGTTCTTTGCAGACAAAGTCGCTTTGATCCGTTCTGAGCTGGACACCATGTTAAATGCAGTCTCTGTGGATGTGACACGAGCACCTGCTTGTCCTATTTTGTTGGATTCTTTTCAGTTTGTGAAACCCGAGGATGTGGACAAGATACTTGGAGGAATGAGGCCTACCACGTCCATCCTAGACCCCTGTCCATCCTGGCTTCTGAAAGAGGCCAGAGGGGGATTGGCTGAGTGGGTAACGGTGGTGGTTAATGCCTCCCTTCGGGAAGGCAAGATTCCAGCGTGCTTAAAACAAGCAATTATAAAACCGCTGTTGAAGAAACCATCATTGGACCCCACTAAATTTGACAACTTTCGGCCTGTTTCCAATCTCCCCTTTTTGGGCAAAGTCATGGAAAGCGTGGTGGCCTCACAACTCCAGGTATTCTTGAGAGACACGGATATTCTGGATCCGGCACAGTCTGGTTTCAGACCGGGACATGGTACCGAGACGGTCTTGGTCGCCTTAGTGGATGATCTGCGCCGGGAGCTAGACAGGGGGAGTGTGTCCCTGTTGGTGCTCCTGGACCTCTCAGCGGCCTTCGATACCGTCGACCACGGTATCCTTCTGGGGCGCCTTGCGGAAATGGGTCTTGGGGGCACTGTTCTGCAGTGGCTCCAGTCATTTCTGGAGGGTCGTACCCAGAAGGTGTTATTGGGGGACTGCTGTTCAACACCACAGCCGTTGACCTGTGGGGTTCCACAGGGTTCTATACTGTCCCCCATGTTGTTTAATATCTACATGAAGCCGCTGGGTGAGATCATCCGGAGTTTCGGGGTGCGGTGTCATCTGTACGCAGATGATGTCCAACTCTGTCACTCCTTTCCACCTGCTACTAAGGAGGCTGTCGAGGTCCTGAACCGGTGCCTGGCCGCTGTAATGGTCTGGATGAGGGCGAACAAACTGAAATTAAATCCAGACAAGACAGAGGTACTCCTGGTCAGTCGCAAGGCCGAACAGGGTATAGGGTTACAGCCTGTGCTGGACGGGGTCGCACTCCCCTTGAAGGCGCAGGTTCGCAGCTTGGGTGTGACCCTGGATTCATCCTTGAGCCTGGATCCCCAGGTTTCAGCGGTGACCAGGGGAGCATTTGCACAGCTTCGGCTCGTGCGCCAGCTGCGCCCGTATCTTGGGAAGTCTGACTTGGCCACGGTGGTACACGCTCTGGTCACATCCCGCCTTGACTACTGCAACGCTCTCTACGTGGGGCTGCCCTTGAAGACGGCCCGGAAGCTTCAGCTAGTCCAGCGCGCGGCAGCCATGTTACTAACGGGAGCGGGACGCAGGGAGCATACAACGCCCTTGTTGGCCCAGCTCCACTGGCTGCCGATTTGCTACCGGGCCCAATTCAAGGTGCTGGTGTTATCCTACAAAGCCCTAAACGGTTCCGGCCCAAAATACCTTTCAGACCGCATCTCGGCCTATGAGCCCACGAGGGCCTTGAGATCATCTGGGGAGGCCCTTCTCTCGATCCCGCCCGCCTCACAGGCACGCCTGGCGGGGACGAGAGAGAGGGCCTTCTCAGTGGTGGCCCCCCGGCTGTGGAACGCCCTCCCTGTTGACATCAGACAGGCGCCCTCCCTCATGGCTTTTCGTAAGAGCCTAAAGACCTGGCTATTCGAGAAGGCATTTAATTGAGAGCCACACGAATCTGGCAATGACACTTGGAACGGACTACGGACTATGAGATTGGCTATTGATTCTATGTGTGATGGTGCGGATTTTTTAGTGTGATTAGATTAATGTGCAATTTGATTGTTGATATATTGTATGTTTTGTAGACTGTTTTTTACATGTTGTGCACCGCCGCGAGTCGCCCCAGGGCTGAGAGCGACGGTCAACAAATGAAGTAAATAAATAAATAAATAAATAAAATATTAATTATGTAGTGTGGATGAACCCTCAGATATGTGCAATTGTTTTCATGTTAGATAAGTAAGACCTCTATCTGTAGAGATAGTTTCCTGGCCAGATTTGAAACTACAGATATGAACGAAAGACAATTAAATTACTTGACCCAGCACAGTGTTGTTCTGGAAGGCTTAGAGATTTCTAGAGAGGATCCAAATCTATGTAATAGGTCCTCTGAGGCAACTACATGGTGGGTTTTCAGGGGAAACATCAAAATTGCCTGGAAAACCTAGAAAATTCCTAAAGAGGCACTTTCCCTCAGATGTGGGTGAGTGAAACTCTAAACATGGGTTCTGCAGTTACAGGGGTCTTACTGTAATAAATTAATTTCAAAGGGGCTTGGAAGTAATTGTATATGGTGCCTTGGATATTTGTTTAAATGCATGAAGAAATCTACTTTATGCATATCTACTTATGAGGTTCACCATTATAGGCGATCCCTCATGACTGAGTTTGCCTTCCAAGTGTAGGATCTAATCTTGATTAGAGACCTAATCTTGATCTGCATGTTCTTTTGCAATGAGGGCATCGAGCTCTGGATGGAAGGCAGTCCCAACAAGTTGGCTTGATCCGCCTTCCTCTTGACACATTTCTCCCTTTCGCCCTCCATTTGTGCCTCTTTGAATTCCACATCACTGTTGGTATTCATGACGTATTTCTACTTCAGAGGGAAATATTACCTGAAAAGTGTGATAGGACAGTGTCCCAGTGTCTACATTTCTTCATATTTAAAAAATAACCTTTTTAAGAGATCCAAAGTTTTTATCATTGTATCTTTCTCTATTTATATGATGGAGCCTTTTGACTAATTTATTGGCAGTATATCCCAGGAAGGTAGCTGGTCTTAATGTCGTTTGGCTGGGAATTTGCTTTGGGTTTTAGAGAAATGTTTGAGATTGTGAGCTCTATATTCTCAATAAAACATAGACAACAACTCTAAAATGCAGGGTAAAACCAGAACAGATTCTCCACCCTACTCATGTTAGATCAACCTATCTTCCATATACATTTTTATAATAGAAAACTGAGATCTATGCACATAGCACACCTTGATAGATATAGTGTAGGAATGCCAAGTCTTCCATGATTCCATGCTAATTCACAAGACAATTTCTGTAGTATTCTTTTCCACTTAAATGCTTTCAAATCTACTGTGCAGAAAAAAATATGGGAGGGTTGGAGTGCAAACATAACGTTTACCATAGAAAATGTGTTTCCTGTGCATTGAGGGGAAATGGAAGTTTTGCTGTATTGTCCATTTGATAACCACGAAGCAGGGTTGGGGGTTCTTTTGGGAGATTGAGTGAGGCATAATTGTTTCCTATAACATTTCATGGCAGTAGACATCAATCAAATGTCCTCCCCCTTTGCCCCTAAATACTTTCGAAATAGGGAGGTCGATCAGAAACTGACTACATTTGTATTAAATTTCACCAAGGCAAGAAAAAAAATATGGACACTAATATGCTTGTGACACATTACTTGGATAAATGATTTTATGGGATGTGAATTCATCATTTTAACTGTATTAATTACATACTGCTTATCTTGTTGCATTGAAATTTTAATTATATACAAATTTATAGGGACATATTATGGCCTCTGGCAGAAAGTGTATTTGTACTGAACTATGTGTAAAGCAAGATCAGTTTGGAATAGCCTAGCAGGGTTGTGAGATGTGGGGTTTTCTCTCTGAAGAGCAAGCTGAACTTTGGGTTCAGGGGTACCAAAACTAATACTTTCCATTACAAGATGCAATTCATTTATGTGTAAAGAAAATGTTGGTGCTTACTATTTCTCCAGAGAAACCTACATTTCTTTTATTCTCACATCTGTTATGATAGCCTATCTTCTTATAGGTAAACACATTCCCTGAGCTTCTATCTTCAAGACAATATTTGCATGTTTGATGAAAGAGTTTTTCATCAAACACTGGAGCAAAAGATGTGAAAAAATATTCCTTTGTTGTACAATTAAGTCCTTGGGCTCTTTCACTTTCCATAATTACAGC